GCTACGAATAGGATCACGATCAAGTACTGTGCAAAATCGATCACCAGTTTGATGGCCATACCGCACGTCGTATCCGAATACATGAAGCCGTATTGATCCACCACGTAGGTGAACGCACAGCCCTCTCAAATAAAAATATCTCAAAATAAACGAATTTCCACAATTCATCAACCAAAATCAACCCGAAAACCCACCAAAAAAATGAATCAAAGTCTGCAAAGCGGCGAACAGCCACACCAAGAACAGGGCAGCGATCGTATTCCTCTGGGTAAATATCCGGGAATGTCTGATGGGCAGGGAAATGGCCATGAATCGACACGTGCTACGCAGCAGATGCGTGTAGATACACGCCACATAGGCGGTGATATTCAACTGACCCATGAAGCGATTCAACGTCGTGTTCTTCAACACTTCCATATCATTACTGCAAACACACAATACACTGCCCGGGAAAGCTGATTGTTTCCCGGGAAAGCAGAGTCTTTTCGGAAAGAGCTGACTGAGTCTTTCCCGGAAAAGAGCGAAATCTTTCCCGGGAAACAAAACAAATTCCATTCATCCATATGAAACTTAAACTATATTCTCTCAGCTATGTAATAAATAAGTTCACAACCCCACTCCAAAAACCTATCTATCTCAGTTTCATTTCATCTCGAATGATCCGCTCAAATCCGCGCAGATCCATTCAGATCTATGCATTCCAGTGGCTAGAAAAGCTTCAATCTCTCACATATCCAATGCCATATCCTTTAAATCCTTACATATCCCATATGATATCCCTTAAAATCGCTGGATATCCTCCAAATCCCTATAAATCCCATACGATATCCTTCAAAATCGCCGGATATCCTCAATATCCCCTTAAAAACCCCAAAACAAAGCTCACAAGAACGTCCTCGGTGCCGCATAAGCAGCGAATGTGAACAGCACCGTGAAATCAGCGATCATCTGCGATACACTCGTCTGTACGAACGGCTTTCGGATCGAGTCGATCTGCTGGATGAATATCAGCACGAACAGATTCACACACATCCCGGCTATTGCCATCTAGATCACAACTGATTGATCTCATATCATTCACTAATCACTGATTACACTTTCGGATCACAAACAACTGATCTCACAATCACAATCAGTTATCACTTGATCTGATCTGATCACAACAACTGATCTGATTTTGCCGCCACCACTCCATCAGACTTTATCAGCGCCTTATCAGTCCCTTATCACCAGCAAATAACAATAATCTCAATTGATCTCAAACAAACTCACAACGAATATAATAATCGCCACTTGTTTATCCTGCTCTGGATCCTCCGTTGCTTCCATACTAAAATTTCCACAAAATCAAATGTTATACTTGAAAATAATTAAGATTTAATAATTTCACTATACTTAAACAATTAGGATTTTATAAATCCAAATCTGAATTTACCACTGCATCCATAATCAAAGTAAAACTATTTAATCCACCCAAATCCCTATAAATCCACTCAACTAACCAGCCAAATCATCCTATCTCCTATCACGAGTAATACTTCAATTAACAATTTTACTCTTCAACCCACAAATTAACAATCCCATTCCAAATCCCAAATCCCACCCGCTTAATCTCAAATCTCCTCATTAAACTATCAAATTCAAGCAATTAAACTAAATCCGAAGCAAATCCCGCACTTTTTGGATTCTATTTCAACACTACAAACTACTATTTTTAAAATTAATCCGAATCCAAAGTCAAACCCAAGGGATTTGTCTAATCTTAATGAGTGCAAACTACACGAAATCAAGCTAAACCGAAAATCCCTCCGAAGACTTCAATGGGATAACTTACACAGGGATTTTGAGGCTCAATTAATCTAGTAGAGTAATAGTTGTTTAATAATAATTATCAAATACAATAATAATAATTAATAATAATAATAACAATAATAATAATTAATAATAATAATAATAACAATACTACTCATAAAAGTACCCAAATTAAACCCGAAATACCTTACCGTGGTCTTAAAAACGCTGACGATGGCATTGTATTCCTCACCCAATAATACTATATCCAATTACTTTTTAATTAATATTACTATTAATTATACATCATTCACATAACTATATTGCCACTTTATCAATCAATCAATATCCACATCGGCTGTCACTAATCTTTTAAGTAATCCACTATCCAAATCCATATTAATCCGCTTCGAGCAGCTCTAGATTAAGCCTAAAAAAGATATCGAGATAAAGCTATAGAATATCCGTGGGATGTATAATGCAAATGAGTTTATTAATATCTTCATAATAGTCGTAATATATTCAGAATAAATAATGTGCTGATATTTGCTTTAGAATCAATTTATCCTGCAATATTCATAGGATTTAAATGGATATCTATCTATCTTTCAGATGATATCCCTCTCAATCCGTTGATTAAACAAGATGGCATCATCAATAACACCATCATCCCTTTATCCATCCATAAATTTTAACTGATTTGCCGGCAGCTTACTTCAACCACTCAATTGATCGTTCAATACAAACACAGATATATAATAACACTATTTTGATTGTATATCCCGATTAAACCAGACAGATATAAAGAGATATATCATATCCATGTATATCCACGATATGGGATTAGTAGCCCGGTTTATAACTTGGATTTTAATATCCGCAAATCTTAAATTTTAATTGAATGTACCTTACAGACTAAGAAGCTGCCTGCTAAGAAGCACTCTTATTCAAGGAGATTTA